GAAGGGGAAAGGGTGGACATGAACAGGAGCAATGTTCTATGATGAACAATCTGAAATGGATAATGCTAATTAGCTTCATAGGTTGAGCGGCCATTTGTCTTGGAGGAAAGGTGACAGCGGTGTCACCCTCTGTCAACAAATCCTTGTACACAACCGCATCCATGAACAATATCTGTAGTTCCAGGAAATTACTGATGGTGTCCAGAGAGCCGCCATATTCTATCTGAATTCCTAAATCCTTTATTGTTTCAAGTAAATATACGTTATGAAGCATGTCTTGTACAGTTGTGTCTGTCAGTTGTGTAGAAACGTATCATTATTGTTGATGTATTTGCCATTAATAATTCCGATGACAGTGTGATTTTGCATTACACTGCAGTTAAAACTGTATATGACATCATCGGCGTTATATTTAACGAAACTAAACTTTAAGCTAAAAGATCCTAATACTATACTGTAGAACTGAAACGTAAACACAACATGACAACTATCAATGTCATTATAATAGGAAACATGTTTTAAATTCCTTTTAGACATTATATAACTGACCCGCCGCCATTACGATAAATTATTTCATTTTTAAATTGATTTTAGTTTTTGTCTGGTGCTGATGACTCATCCGTAGTATAATTTGAAAAGGAGGGACTGAGTGCGGAATGACTGCATTTAATATGCCTTGGGATACCTTCACGCTTCTGGCAATGTGCATTGTCATCGATAGCGCGGAAGTTGTTTTGCTAGTACTTACATTAAACCGAATTCAAGTTCCGTTAAGTAAAACGTACGGACCATCGAGCATGAAAGAGCCCTATATTCAAATTTGTGTGGAATTAAACAAAGAAAAATCAATATATCAAACGAATGTGTTTTTTCATTGTTATGAATATATTTCCTGCTTGACAGATGAAATAGACGTAATTTGGTAATATATTTGAATTGAGATGGTTGGAGAAGTCTGTCGTTCATGCATGTCATCACACATCTATCACAGGTGTTCGTTTCATGCTGATGCTTTTTCTTTTCATCATATCTATATCAATAAAATTTGTATTGAAACAAATTCGCCTGGAATTTGATAGATAATGATACTGCAAATCGTTATGCTCGATCATAAAACGAATTTGCAATCTCCATGTTAGATCAAACAGTGACCCCTTGGCTGTGTTTCTCAGTAAAGGGAGCATATATATGCTTAATGATGTAACCTGCCGCGATATGTTACACCTCTTCATATTTTCAAAGCAATAGGTGTCAACATATTTCAAATGCACCCTATCATTATGCTGGTGTTTGACAGATGCTGAATTGTTGTTGTTTTGTATTCAAAAGGCTGAACATTAAAAACTCCCTTCAATGAGTCTTCAACACCGGGGCCTGACATATACAATCGCTTCAAACAAACATCGTCACCGTGCTTCAATTACACTTCATCCCCACTGATTCAGAAATATTTCATGGCTAGTTTAACCACACGTGATAACGATACAGAAAGAAATACTTCAAAGACACAAACAAAACGATATGCTGAAATATCTACGTTCAGTCTGAAATTGGTTATAAATGTGACTAGACACATGTTCAATGACTTTGTGTTAATACAAATACTGTAACAACATGTGACAAGATATGTGAAAGATATCTGCTTATATACAGATGGTTCTGTATAGGGGGCGGTTTATAGACATGAATATGATGACTGACGTGTGTAAAATACAACGGACTCCGTTCTTTGATAAGAGCTTCAAGACCCCATTCTAAACATTGCATAGCAGGCGTATACAGGTAAGATGGGTCGGGTGAACGCGGTGGGTCGATAGGAAGACAGAAAAGAAGAGGACAAAAGGTGGAGGAATTAATGATAGAATGATACGCGAAACAAATATGGGGGTTAAAGGATTACTCTGATTGAAGGAAGCAACCGCAACTCGGAATATTGGTTGTTTATGAATTTGCGACGAAAAGGGAATTTAATTAAATCGTGAAACAGTTAACAGAAGAAGATATGAAAGTGTTTTTGTTCAATTTCATCATAGAGGGGGAAATAAACTGGTTCTGTTTCCCCATTATACTTTATATTCACGAGTGGCATGCACTTGATCTGTGAACGTAACACCTTATCATCTATCACAGGTTTGGATTCAATGCAGTGCCTTCCTTGTACAATGTCTAAATGCGCTTCGCGTGAATCAGCAAAAAAACAACACATTTTCCTTGTATAATATAATGAGATTCCATTCATTAAAAATCAATGTAGAGTGATATGCCACATCAATGCAAGTACCAACAGTTACTATGTACTGACATTAAATTGATATACGCCGACGTTTACAAAGGGCATTGTGTAAGCTGTATTCCAAAGCTCTTTATCTTATAAAACGATTGACATTTACAACATAAAAAATACTCGATTTCAAAACATCAGATTTAAATACATTTCAAGACTATTTAGGATAACGATAAACGTGTTTAAGCTAGTGTTTTTTCCTCATAAGACAAAAACACACAATAGAATATAATAACGAGCCTGATACACGCCAACAGTTATCAGAACGTGTATTTAAATACGAGACACACTTATCAAGACATGTCTTAAATGTGAATGCATTATATTCGAACATTACTTCACGCGAGTCTCGTTTAAAACAAGATGCAAGTCTTCTAGACTTGTATAGATTGTTTACACTTATTGACCCGCTCAAAAACAACACCACAAAATAAACAGGGGGTCCTTTGTATATGTCTTTGTCAAAGTGCCCTTTGTACGTGGTTGTCAATGCAATTTGTCACATGTAATTTATCGTTAATTATATGTACATTTCAGTTCAATAATTTACAAGACAAATACGTACTTTGAAAAAAGATACTTGCGACAAGGTTAATACAACCGATAGTAAGGCTTGGAAGGTAGTGGAAATGTGATGAACCTAGATCTCGGGAAGATAAGAACGCTGAACTTAAATTTATCGTGCATGTAGCTTTCTCCAAAACCTATTACCAAAGAATATTACATGAATGTAGATATGGTGTAAGTTATTCCCACGTTGGAATATGTAGTATGGTAAATGCAGGAAATAATGTTCGGCAACTGTTGTCGTTGAGAGTCGACATGTTTAATAGAAACTACGAGCATGTCAGTTGTCAATAACGAGTTGCAATCTACAACATATATCGGAAAACTTCATAATATTACATGGCGAAATCACTTGAGACTTACGTCGTGTCATTGCATAATCATTTTATGTAAAACTGTTTGTTGATTTTTTAACTGAACAGGACGTCACATTGTAGGTGTTGATGATTGTTTACCCAGGCAACGAAATTAATAATTATATATAACAACATTTGCGTATAGTTAAGTGTTGTATTCTCATAATATGAAGGTGTCAAAGGGAATTTTACACTAACAATAACAAAACATTAGACTGGCCTAAATCGATTGCATTCTGTGGTTCCATTCGAGAAATGTCTTGATTTATTTCTCTTGTACATATTCATTAATCTGAGAGTAGCATATCTGTGTAGTATTGTTTATGAAATGCACATTAATAACTGTCGAAGTGTAATATTCATGTCAACAAAATGACAAATGTTTTAAACTTGGACCAGACATATATCTTCCACTGTGATCCATGCAAGTAGTTGGAGACAAGTGTGAGACAATATGATCCAAATTAGATATCAGTTCGTCCAAAATGTTTACTTTGGAATAACTGTCAAAATATATGTACTATTTAGAACTGAAATTTCAACTATTTCAACAATTTCAAAATAAGTATATTGGCTTATAGTTAGTAATAGACTTGAATGTTCCATGGGTTTTTAAATGGATATTCCACGTTTATGATGCATTCATTATATTAATGCTTCCACAACAAGCATCGGTGGCCATAAATCATGTTGCTCCATATCGTGAATTTGACACTTGTTCACATCAACCATCAAGTGTGCACGTTTAGGTAAAATGTGTTGCTTATTTCATATCTATATGATATAGAGTGGAACACGCCACCCGATGCTACCCACACCACATTTCTTGATAGGCGCTAGTATGTCTATTTTATTTCAATCTAAACAACATATATGTACATTAGTGTCACTGGATGACAGACTTCAAGTCAATTACACAACAATGGACCTGACAGCGACAATATGATCGGATATAAATGTTGTCGTTCCAAAGAAATCAACACGGTTTGATGTAAATTTTCAGTATGTTAATTACAGCGTTTATCCGTTTTGAGAGGTTAAGTGCCGAAGCATCTGTTTAAATGACGAGCTTTGAAATTAATGCGTTTAACTACAACAAACATTGCCTGTAGGGATGATGATGATGTAAACTAAACATACATTATCACAATTATACCTGTAGAAAGACCAGAGTGCCACCTTTAAGTTGGACTTCACTGATAAAATAATTATTTTGCAAAATGTAAGCCTTCCTGTGGCCTTAATGCTGTGTTAGCATCCAAGCCATGCATGTCAAATAATACTATTATAGACTCTAACACTTAGAACGGTTATAGTCTTTGAATGTATATATAAGATCATTAAAAACATAATAGTCGTTTTGCAAATAAAACATCCTATTCCGGTCATTTGTAATACATCGTAAAATTATGATAAATAACGGAATGGTAAATAAGGACTGTTTCAGATATTACCAGTATAAAGTATTTACAACCACATGTGATATATACATTGATTGTATATCCTGTTGTAGTGTTAATGTAACTGTATTTCACGGTTATCTCGTGACACAGTTTTGGACATAATACATCGACAGCGAATCAATATCGCACGTACCGTTGGCGAAACACAATACTGAATAATATTCCACATTTGATCCGTCGTAATTAGTCTTCCCATTGTGGTGTACCCAACGAGATAGAAGTGTCTTTATTCGTGTGTATATCAGCAGAATATGTATTCTCTTGTCAATTTCATCCCGTCCTGACGGAAATGTGCAGATACGTTGTCAATAGCGGATTAATTGCACCTACCTGCCAGATTTTGTTATAACCATCTCCGTGCCGAGTTTGTGGAAGCTCTCCCACAATTCTTTGCTTTCTAGCTCTACTTTGGGGTCATCGTTGACCTCAATGTCGGGGGGTTCCATCCCACGTAGGGGTCTGAAGGGGTCGTGGTGCGACATCATGTCCGAGGGGGTCATTGGACCACGCCCAAGCCCATGCTGGAGCTTTGGAAGCAGGGACGCAGCTAGCCCGGGGTGCTGTATCGTCATCGTTGGGAGGAAAGGCGACTGAGAGAGGAGAGAGCCCATCGCGTAATCCATGGGTCTGTGAATTAGAAAGGGATTGTACGCCATGATTGAGTTCTTTGCTGTGTCCGGCAAAATCATGAGCGAGATACTAAACCTACGGCTAAGGCTACATGTACTGAGTTATGTGATCGACTCTTGCCTGTGGCCCATCGCCGGTATTACACATGCATTATGCTCGGCATTGTTCCGCGGCGAAAGGGCGCCACCGATTGGCCGCGCTATCTGCCTCTCAACCAATCATTTAACGAGCGGGGCGGGGTTTTGACAAGTACACATGTTACTGCGCTCACAAAGAGGTGTCGCTGTACTCTCCGCTCTCATGTCAAATTGTGCTACGGGGTGACATGTCAACTGCGACGGAAACCTTCCCACGAAATAAAACCAGTCAGAATGTTTTATTTTGCAAAGTATGAAGCCAAACAATAAGTTCGCTCATTCCTTTTGCCATATAAAGAATGATACGCCGTTTTGAAATCAATGCGTAGTGTATACAGCGAGAAATCGACCCACTTCGTCTGTAGTCGATTTCTCGCGTCAAGCCCCGCCCCCGAGTTTGACTGACAGGCTGAGGTGTGAATATCGTGGTTAACTGTCACATATCGATTTCAGTGTATGTGTAGATCTCCTGTCGCCCGCTAATGTTTGGATGTCTCTAACATAACGCGAATGTACACACAACCCCTTGTTCAGTGGGGTTTCGCTCGAACCACGTATTCCCTTTCAACCCCAACCATCAATCGCCGACTGAGGCAGTCGGTCGAGAGAGGGTGCGCGACTCGCTGTAGCATGATTTGCTGTTTTCAAATTCCAGCCTAACTTAGCCTTGTAAGTACGGCTGGCGCCAAGGCTGTGACGTCACGCCCTCCGGCACGCTGTCCCGAAGTTGTATCGTGGTGTTTATACCGGGCAGAGTCGCCATAGCACAAACACGCCGTTCGTCGACATATTGTCTCCCACATCGTAGGCCAGTCGGCGTTGTTTTAAGGAGGCAATATGTCAGATTTGTGACATATTCATTGAAATATTATATTTATTTGTCCAGTTGTTGATGATAAGAAACTGGGTGGTCATTTAGTCATTTATCAGCCCAATTAGACTCAACGCAGGATGTGTATTACAGGAGATTAGTCCTCTGACATGCTAACCGGCGTCATACTTTATCTAAACTGACATTCCCATCAACGAAATCGACATCCTAAACTGTCATTCGATCCCGTAGTCTAACATGCAATACCTGCCTGTCGATTTCACCGACTACAGTCATCTACATCCACGTTGATCGCCCCCTAGATGACTTTATACAGCGCCTCGACAGATCCCCCCGATAACTTTGTTTGTTTACGAGCGCCAGCTTTCGGCCTTATAATAACACTTGAGTGACATTTAACTGAGTGAAACCTACCAAAGACCAATCAGCTATACACACCGGCTTGCTCGACAAGTTGCAATGTAACATGAGAGTAATTAATAAGTACCCTCTAAGCGTACAAGGTGCTAGTCCCGTGGTCGCCAGCTAACACGGACTGCTGTAGGCCCAGGTCGAATCTGTCCGGCGCCGGGCGTCTAGGCCTGAATGCACAATTGTCAAGGCCGACATGTGTAGCGGGAATGTGTAGGCTTTAGTGTTATAACACTCTTTGGCAACTCTGTTACACGTGACATCATTAGGAGATAAGCCGGAATGAGAGATAGAGAAATATCTCCGCGAGAGAGTATGTGTACAGGAAAATATACTTATGAGAATAGGAGAGTTTCATTAGATGATTTGAACACGAGGCTTGAGAGAGCGCGTGCGCTTGAGGGAGAACATGTGACAGAAATGTAAAGAGAAGGGTGCGATGTATGCATGAGACATATTGTGAACGTGTGGTAAAACGAAATATTCGCACGGAGCAAGAAAGTATGAATAAATACCATATGCATGAAGGCAGATATTGAGGAGTGATGTATACATAGGGTAATACATGAAAGAGAGTTAAATAATAAGAGAATGAGACAAGAGAGAGAGAGAGAGAGAGAGAGAGACAGATAATTATATCCACGAGAGTGTGTATGAGGGAACATATGTATGAAACATAAAGTACATGGGGGAATATATGCATGAGACATAAAGTGTGTATGGGGGAATATATGTATGAGACATAAAGTGTGTATGGGGGAATATATACGATGAGACATAAAGTGTGTATGGGGGAACATATGTATGAGAGTGTGTATGGGGGAATATAGGCATGAGAGTGTGTATGGGGGAATATATGCATGAGAGTGTGTATGGGGGAATATATGCATGAGAGTGTGTATGGGGGAATATATGCATGAGAGTGTGTATGGGGGAATATATGCATGAGACATAAAAGTGTGTATGGGGGAATATATGTATGAGAGTGTGTATAGGGGAACATATGTATGAGACATAAAGTGTGTATGGGGGAATATATGTATGAGACATAAAGTGTGTATGGGGGAATATATGTATGAGACATAAAGTGTGTATGGGGGAATATATACGATGAGACATAAAGTGTGTATGGGGGAACATATGTATGAGACATAAAGTGTGTATGGGGGAACATATATATGAGACATAAACCGTGTATTGGGGAATATATGTATGGGACATAAAGTGTGTATGGGGGAATATATGTATGAGACATAAAGTGTGTATAGGGGAACATATGTATGAGACATAAAGTGTGTATTGGGGAATATATGTATGAGAGCGTGTATAGGGGAACATATGTAGGAGACATAAAGTGTGTATGGGGGAATATATGTATGAGACATAAAGTGTGTATGGGGGAACATATGTATGAGACATAAAGTGTGTATGGGGGAATATATGTATGAGACATAAAGTGTGTATGGGGGAATATATGCATGAGAGTGTGTAAAGGGGAACATATGTATGAGACATAAAGTGTGTATGGGGGATATATGTATGAGAGTGTGTATGGGGGAATTGTATGCATGAGACACAAAAGTGTGTATGGGGGAATATATGCATGAGAGTGTGTATGGGGGAATATATGCATGAGAGCGTGTATTTTGGGAACATATGTATGAGACATAAAAGTGTGTATGAGGCAATATATGCATGAGAGAGAACATGTATGGTAGGAACTATGTGACAGATGGGTGATACTTAGTTGAGAAATAAATGAGGTAGTCGTAACTTTTTTGTTTCTACGATATGCAGATAAAACGATCGCAAACAACACTGATAATCAAACAGTACATGGAACTCGTTCCAAATATGCGTGACAAAAACAGTATAATAAATATACTGTCGATTGAAACGCGTGCTTGTTAATTTCAAACAGACTGACAGCATTCACCGTCAATATCATGTATCTAGTTGTTAATAGCCCCCGACACGAGTCACAATAACATCCCACGTGACTTTCTTATCAGGAAGGAGATGGCCGTCGGAGGAAAAGTGTATTTAATCCAGATTATATCTATTTGATATGATAATGAGCGTGATCTAATCATTTGACAAATTATTGGATATCAGACACAGACGTGTCTATTTCGTTACGCGATCGGAACATCAGAGAAGGAACCTGATTTGGTTTTTAGTTTGACAAGGTTTCTATAAGGAAATATATTTTTTGAATAACCTCACTACTCATCCTCACATGAATACATTTTTCAGAGGTTTTGACGATAATAATGACATCAGCACGATTGTTGACTCTGTGTAAATTACCCATTTTATTTACTCTGTATAAATTGACTTGTAAACTTGCACAACACATTAGAACTATTGGGTTTGGGCCTAAAGATTTCGACCCTTCTTGCACTCATGCCACATTTCACTCATTGACTATAGTATCGGTTAGATGAAGGCTCATGCTTAACCTGCAATCCAATATTACTCATAAATCTCTGCAATATCGTTTCTATTTTTCTGAAGCATTCTGAAGAAGCAGTAAATATTTTTTTCTTAAAGGAAATAATACAGTAATCATCAGACTATTCATAAACAATTACTACTATCTTTGTTAGATTTCGTTTCGTTTCAGACAAAATTATACGTTTGGGTTATACTAATTTTTAAAGAGCCTACGAACAAAAAGGCGTTCCCTTCGAAAAGCCAATCCAAACAATACCAGTAAAAACTGGAATGCTAGACATGGTTATGATGCGTTTGGACGGGTGCGACCAGCTTTCTCAAGCACCCTTGAAACAAAAACAAAACACCGTCCCGCACTAAAACGCACGTCTATACACTGAAAACGACTGCCTCTCCCCTCGAGAAGCCCAAACTCTGATACTCGGGTCGTACAATCCACTGTCGATCCGAGGGTCGCGCGACCACTTAACTGCAGTACTTGCTACTTACAGACAAGTTCGATGGGGGAGAATTTATTATTAGTGACAATGTCACCGGCTAGGACCACTTTCACCCATTCCACCATAAATTACTTTGGCGTCAGGGTTTCTCAATGGGGAGGCAGCACCACCAGGGTCTGACGAAAGTAAATAGCCCCCGATTCGCTGTCGATTGTCGATGTAAGACGTGGGATAAGGGCGATAGTGATCGCTAATGAGACGAGTAGAATCTGATGTTACGGGTACAGATATATTGTTACGGGTATGGATCTGCTGTTACGGATACAGGTCTTATGGGTAAATAAACTGACTATACATTGAACTGTTTGGCTACATTTTATAAAAAAAAATATTATGTACATTATCTTCCAGTAAATTATACCAACTATATGAAACATAAAATAACCATTTTACATCCAAATGTTTTATGTGTGAAAGATATGTTTGCATGGATCTCTTCATGGGAAATTATTATGAGAGGGTCCGTCAATAGTAAAGACAAACTCTTTGCTGAATTTACATTTTTCTCGATTACTCAACAGAATGTACACTCTTTAATAAACGTGTAACGACCCCCGGTTTTTTTTAAAACACGTGGATTAGAAATTACGAATAAGAACACAGTTACACGCAGATTGCAGGTACACCATAAATAGGGCAGAATTCACGTGCACTTTTAGA